ATTAGATTTGATACTAGACTATGCCATTCCAAGCATTTTTAAAACATATCTGCATTTTTTTTATATACTTCTCCCATCAAGAAGTTGGAGCTATGTTCCTTCTTCTTGAATCTGGGCCAAGCTCAGTGATTCACACATAACCAACAGAATAGGTGGAAGTGACAATACATGACTCCAGGGGATAAGTCACAAAAGTCAAAGCCTATTTTACCTTGCTTGCTGGAACACAAGCACTAGAAGTCCTGAGGCACCATGTAGGAACTCCAGCTATCTTACAGCTAGCATGCTGTGAGGAAAACCAAACTAGTCTAAGCAGAGAGAACACATAGGGAGGGGCTTGAAGGACCTGAACAGTAAGAGAGAAAAACAGAGAGATATGAGGTGGAACATGGGGAAAGAGCATGCCCTGGCTGGGCACCAAGTGTTGGTATTTTGATTGGTAGGGACAAAGTGCTTATTACAAGATCTCTCCACTCTGGCTGATGGGAACACAAACTATTTTCAGCATCAGAAATTGTTTGGCCTCCTACTTTTTGGGGGTTCTTTCTCAGACCTCATGGTGCTTCACCTTTCCATTGCACAGATCAATACTCAGCCAAAGGTACAAGGGGAAAGGTACAACCTGTGCAGACCTCCAAGACTCTGTGCCACCACCTCCTCTCTGATACCTGCCCACCAGCTTCCCTGAATTCCCATCTCTGTCTCCTCTAGTCAGTGAAGGCACTTGCCTCTGTTTAGGTTCCCCTCCCTGCTCTATGCCCTGAACACTGGCTCCAGATCACTGAAGGATTTACTTTATCTTTTTCTCAGGGGTCATAATTCTGTGTTGTCTGTTGTCCAATATCTGAAAATAGTTGTTTTCAGTAGGAAGGCAATATGCAGAAGCAGAAGTTTAAATGGAATTGGACTGAACTGTCTTGTCTGATCTTAAATTCATACTCAAAAGTGAAAAAAAAGTAATAATAGTAAAGCTTCTTGAAAATGTTCTCTATAGTAACTGTTCTCTCTAATTTCCCACTATTTAACTGGGTGTATTCTGGCTTCTACCCTCCACTTCATTGGAAGAACTGTTATTGTTACTGAACAAAAGGACCCATGGCGGGGGTGGCCAGATGCTATTACAGAAACAATGACACCCTCCTTCCCCGGGACCCCTCGATTGTGGGTCCTTTGCCCGCCGCCCTCGGAATTATGGCTCTGAATGGCAGAGTTTGGTGAAAAGGAAAGGAACCATTTATTCACAAGTTTTACAGGTTTGATTAATGGTTAAGTGTCATCCTTAAACTTCAAAATCCCTTCAAAACAACCACCAGCACACACACCGTCCTGCCTTCCCCACTTTGCCCAGTTAGGCCAGTCAGGGGTACTGTCCAGAAGAAAAAGAACAGAAGTCCGGGGTTCAGCTAGGCAGGCCTCTCGCGGGTCCCAGCACCATCCACTGCGCTGCGGCGATCTCCAGCTCTTAATCCATAACCAGGTGGCACCTTCTCCTGGCCCACTGGCAAGAGTCCTTTCTCCCCTCTTTCTTCCCGCGTGGTCTTCACCCTGTTCCCTAGAGTCTGTGTCCCTTTGTCTCTCCTGCAGGCCCCTGTCTCTTCTCTTTCTTTTCCTCTCTCACATTCTGTTACATTCTGTATTAAGTTTTTAAACCTTCCCGATTAGCTTTGGTGATATGCCAAATAATCCTCTTTGCAAAGGAGGAACGATGCTATCCTGTTATTGACATGCAAACTGACTTCTCAATGACCCTGCTCAAGGCTCCCATCCCCCACGGTGGCCCGCCCTGGGGTGGGGAATATATTTTTCTTGGACACCCCAATCTTTGGACCCCATTACAAATACACTTTGGGGGGGCCCTGGCTGTGCCCTGTTACATTATCACACCACAAACAACCACCTCATTACTCTAACTAAAGAATACATTTTAGTTGTTTTCTTATTTGACCTTAAACAATCCAATGCTATCCAATATGGTAACTACTGGCCACAAGTAGCTACTGAGTACTTGAAATGTGGCTAGTCCAAATTGAGAGGTACAAGAAGTATAAAATACACACCAGATTTCTAAGATTTAGTTTGAAAAAAAGGGATATAACATTTTATTAATAATTTTATGTTACATGGTAAAACAATGTTTTAGATCTATTTGGTTAAACAAAATGTATTTATAAAATCAATTTCACTTTTTACCTAATACTGCTACTAGAAAATTTACAATTTACAGTTATATATATGACTCTCATTATACGTCTAATGGCCTGTCCTGCTCTATAGCAGCCTCTTGTACTGATAGAGCACTGCTTTCAACTCTCTCCTTCTTTGGTATATGAGACTCTGCTCTTCCCTTGTTTTCTGCCTGCCTCTCTGCTCCTTCTCAGACTTCTCTGAAACCTAAATCTATTGTTCTCAAAGTTTATCATGCTGCAAAATCACCGAATTGCTTGCCAAAAATGCAGAATCTTGAAGCTTATCTGTAAGGAGATTCCAATCTAGTACTAACATTTACTACAACTCTGATCTTTAGCTCAAATTCTTCTCATTGCCTGCCTCTTCTTTCCAACTGCATACTTTGTATCTTTATCAGATGTCTTAGACTTAACATAGCCAACATTTAATTCCTTGTCTCTATTCTTCTTAACCTAATTTGTCCTCGTTACCCAAGCTAGAACCCTAAAATCATTCCCTCCTTCTTCCTCACATCTGTATCTCATCAGTTATTAAATCTGCTTGTTTAACTTCTGTCCTCTCTATGCCTTAATTCCCTTAGTTTGAGGTATTTCCATCTTGGCACTACTGAAATTTTGAACGAGATAGTTCTGTCTCGTGCATTATAGGATGTTTAGCATTTTCTCTGTCCTCGCCCCACTAGATATCAGCAGCAACCCCTAGCTGAAAACACAAAAATTATTTCCAAACATTACCAAATGTCTAAGCAAGGGGGTGGGGATCGCCTCACCCCTAGAGCCACTGAGTTGACTGAGGCCATCATTATTAATCACCTGCAGTAGGGCAAGACATTCCACCTGGCTCTCCTGTCCAGTACTGTACCTCTTCCCTATTCTCCACACTCCTTACAGTTTCACAGCTTACTTCAGAATACAACTTAGTATCTCTAATATTGCATAAAATGGCTGTTAGCTGTCCTCTACCTACTTCTTTCAGCTTTCCACTCCAGCCATACTGAATTCCTTAGTTTCCTTAAGGATGGATGAAAGTCATAAGAAGTGGTAGTCACAAAAAAATGTTAAATACACTAGTAGCTTATGAGTTAAATGCAAAATTCCTAGGATGTTTTATATGGAGAACATGAGTAAGTATGTACTGTATGGAAACATAGAATTATGTTGACTGTGCATAGAGTAAATTATAAGGCATGCTAAAGTTAAAATAAACTTAAAATACCATGGAACAGAGGGTCATTCATAGTGTTAAAAAAAAAAAAAGAGGGGATGGAAGAACTAAGCTGGGGGTGAAAGCTGTCACCATGAAATCAGCCATCCACAGGTGACACCTAGTATAATCTCATGCAAGCTTTATCCTAAATAAATAAATAAGTGCAAATCAATCCATGTCTGTTCAGGCTAAATAGTAAGCTCTGGTTGTGTCCAGGCACCTTTCCCTGCACCTATCCAACAAAACAAGTGTGTGCTATCGGCCCAAAGCACATTCTACCTGTGGGCCTCCTTGTTGTGACCTGAATGCTAGTCCTCAAAAGCATACCATCAAAGGAAAAGGCTGATGTGGCAGACAGAACACAGGAACATGGCTTAACTCCTGATTCAGGTGATGTCCTTCCACTTGTTTGCAGCCTATCCTAAAATGTGTCTACTTAACTCCAATTCTTTCCCCTTGATTTTCACTGGGTATTCAAGCAGCTGTGTTATTCAAACATCTTAATTTGGTCTGTGAGTCTTCTATTTCATTATCTCTAGGACCGTTTGCCTAGCAGTGTGCTTGGAGGCCACCATTGCATCGAGTTACTTTTCCATATGACTGCTTGATTCAAGCAGTAATTTCTCAGAATCCCCCTGCTTTATTAACTCTCATTTCATCCTGTTCACATCCGGGGTTTGTTATGGCATTTATTACACCACACTGTGATTAACTCTCCACTCCTTTGTTTCTCTAGTCTGCGGCCTCCTTGAAAGGGGGGTAAGTTTTATTCTTTTTGTTTCATTATTAGTTAATAAAGTGCCACCTGTGAAGTAACTGCTGAAAAAACGACTGCATGCGGCCTCCTGAAGAAACAGCTGAGTGGATTATCTATTGCTTTGTGTAACTTGGTGAGTAGCAAAACCAGGCCTGGTTGCACAGCAGCAGGGAAGTAGTAGGAAGAACCGTAGGCTTAGTGCAGAAAACGTGCATTAACTGTGTACAAGCATTACTAGCAAGCTTGGGCCTTGGTGCCCTGTATTTCCCTGTCTCACATTTTTTTTCACTTGATTGGTTAAAAAAGCAATAGTTGTGGTGTAGTTGCGGGGGAGAAGGCTTTTCCATACTACTCCCAGCTGAAAATGGTTGAAGGCTGAGTCTAATATTGAGTTCTCAAAGAGTCCAAGTTAATAAGCAGAGCTATTTTTTTTTTATAGTTTAAAAGAGATACATTTTGGAATACAGTTACCCTGAATGAAAGACATTAAATAAAATGTGAGACCTTAAATAAAGGGTTTGTTCTTGAGGTTCTTTGAACTCATTCACTTCTTCGAGAATTAGAAGGATTGGGTTGCAAAAATTTGGCTTCACGATCAGGCGTAGAGATTTGCGAATAGAATCCAAGCTAGCCAAACCTGTATCCTGGAAGGGATGGCCCCTGGGACCAAACAATTCCCTAACCTCTGAGGACAGACTGCAACACCAAGTCAGCGTCAGCAGCAACTGTTGCCTCACCTTGAATCATTCGCCAATGAACGCCGCCCCGCCCTTTCCGCCCCGGGGGAGGCCTGGCTCCCTTCCGCTCTAGGCTTCTTCCGGGTGTCTCGTTACGGTAGCGCTAAGGCGCTCTAGCTCTCTCGCCGTCCTCTCAGTGGTAGCGCGGGGACTCGCTGAGAGCGGGCACCGGAGCTTGTCGGGCGTGGTTACGGGTTCTTGTCGAACCCGGGCGGAGGACCTCGCGCTAAGGCGGAAAGGGCCGTGGTGACTCTAGGAGGGAAGGAGCGGGAGCGTGGAGACGGGTCCCTGGATAGGACCGGCACTCGGGCCGTGTTACGGAGGCCGGTGAGAAGTGGGAGAGGAATTTTCAGCTAAGGGTGGGCCTCCCGCCTGCGGAATAACCCCACCCCTACCCTTGACCCAGGTCAAAACCCCCCCTGACACCAGTTCATCTATGGCCCTTGGTGTCAGGACGCGGCTGACTTTTGCCGCATATGTCGCGTCCGCGGGTTGTCTCTCTTCCGGAGACCTGGAGCCCTCAAAGCTATGGTTTAGGCTGGTACTGTGTCAGGTGAGGGCTGTTGTGGCCCTGAACGCCGTACACAGCGTGTATCTTTCCTGTTTCTTTTTTATTTTTGTAATCATAATCCTCCTGGCACTAAATGTTTGGTCGAAGCTGGAGACAGTGCAGTAGTCGTTTTTTATACTGGTATCCTGTAGATAGTAGATGCTCATTAGACGTATCTGGTGGCTAGAAACATTTTTATAGAGCCATGAGCTAGGGGCGTTATCCATGTGACCACCACGGGGTTGGAGTGGGAATAATTGCAGGATCCTGGGGACTGGTCACATTGATTTGGGGAGATGCAGCCTTGGTCTGAGATTTTGACAGCCTCTGAATATGTATTTAAAAGACGTTGTGAAGTTACCTACTAAGTGTCAGTATTGTGCTAGAGAAGCTTCAGCTGCTTGTAAGTGGAACCCACGTGATTCCTTGCCCTCGCAGAGCTTAAGACGTAATGGAAAATACGAGCAAGTAACAAGCTTGCGATGAGTGCTATGAAAAGGGAAGTCCCCGACGTTAGTACTGTTTCACTTTGGGCGATACAGAAAATAACACCGTATAGCTCCTGTCTACGAACAGCAGAGAAATAATAAAGAGTTTCAATTCACAGTGAAACTCTTGTGTAAGCAGACGAAGGGAGGACCTATAGCGACAGTGTTTGGGTAAGGCTCGATAGATCAGTGAAGACACTGGCTCTGTCTTGAAAGGTAAGTTAGGATTAACTGACAAAGGAAAAGCTGAGGGCTTTCTAAGCAAAGAGAACAATGTAAGTGTTTACAGGGTAAAATAACTTTGCAGGTAGTTTAGTCTGACCCGGAGTATTAAGGTATTTAGAACAAGTAATGGCATGATCAAGAGCCCAGGCTTTATCTTCTAAAATGAGATAAAAGAATTTTTAACAGAATGATTGCAGTTTGGGTCACAACCAGAAGAATAAGGTAGAATGAGGAGAGCTTTGCTCATTCTTCTCTTGGTCTGGAAATAACCTCTCAGTTGTTGAAATCGCTCTTCAATTAGTTCTCTTTGGCTTTTAATGACCAGAGGAATAGTAACAAATTGCAAATGGGTTTTGGAAGCCTGAAGGGTTTGCTACATTGTTCCAAAAATGATCTGAAATTACACTGGAAATGAGCCTAGAATAAATTTTTAGGACCTAATTAACAGGGATTATTCATATAAAGTAAGATTAGTTGTTTTAATTCATTCGGCAAATACTTAAGTGTCTCAGATATATGAGCCGTTGTGCTAGGCTTGGTAATTAGAGCTCTGAAATTAAGTTTCTTCATCTATAAGTGGGGATGATAGTACCTCAAAATTGTCAAGATTAATGAGATGATGTTTGTGCTATCGTACCTGGCCCTTACCATGTCTTTTAAGAGGTGCTGTGGACTACATTTTGTTTTAAATTCTCTTTATCTTTCCTATTGGGCCTGGGCCTTCTTTAGAATTAAGACTCTCATCTTGGCTCGTTAATCCTTCTGTTAGTGCCCAATTTTATATATAATGTAGATAGTTAATATTTGAAGATAATGGGCACAAAAAGTTAACATTTGCAAAATGTATGACTTATATTTGTATGCCCATAACTGAAGCTTCTGATTAACATAGTAGGGGTAGAAGAAAATGTTTTATTTTCATTAAATAAGAGATAACCTGGCAAATGCATTACAAATTACAAGACCCTGTATTTCACACCTCCTCGCAGAGGGCATTTTTCAATGAAAGGGAAGGACTCTTGAGTTAACCTAAAAATTCAGTCAAATTTTTGTTCAGTTAAATTTCCTCTTTATACTACTTTTCCCACTAATTAGGAGACTGGTAACAAAGTAAAAAGCTGTATTAATGATAAATCAACATATTGGAACTTAGTATTGCCACACTTCCCCTAAAAATTTTGGGGAGAAAAAAATTAGTTCTCTTTTTTTATCTGCATGTCTCTCTGCTATTGTTTTAGGGCAGTTTCATTTTAAACTGAGCAGGTGCTATAATTTGTTCATAGGGAGTTCAGATTTCTTTTAACAACAGGTAAGAGGTGGGACATAATTTGAAGCTGGCATCAAAGAAAGATCTCTGCCACCGGAAGATGTACCAAAAAAGAAAAATTGCATTGTAAATGAGCTTGCCAGAATTAGCAAATAAAAATACGGGATGCACCCTAGCTGGTGTGGCTCAGTGGATTGAGTGCCAGTCTGTGAACCAAAGGGTTGCCATGCCATTTGATTCCCAGTGTAAGGCACATGCCTGGGTTGCAGGCCAGGTCCCCAGCAGAGGGTGCGTGAAATGCAACTACACATTGATCTTTCTCTCCCTCTCTTCCCCTCTCTAAAAATAAATAAAATCTTTTTTTAAAAAACTAAATAAATAAAAATAAATAAATACAATCTTTAAAAAAAAATATAGGATGCCCAGTTAAATTTGAACTTGAGACAATGACTGACTATTTAGCAATATTTGGGACATAATTAAAATAAAAATTATTTGTGCATTATCTAAAATTTATATTTAACTGAGCATTCTGTATTTTATCTGGCAACTGCAGTAGTAAATAACTTAACTCCACAGCGACACCTAAGGTATGGGTGCCTATAAAACTGTATAATTGTGCAGGCAGTTTAATTCCTACAAGTGCTTCTACAGAAATTATAGTACAACACTCAAAGCTCCAAATATTTGGAAGCTACTGTTTACCAGAAGGGAATGTTTTAAAAAACTTAACAGGTTATGGCTAACTTGAAGAAGAAAACAATTTTAACTCTACATTTTCCAACAAAGAGCCCAGGTTCATAGTAATTTAAAATTAATTAAAGAATTTATACAGTTGTAGAAGATGGCCAAGAAATAACAAAAATTGATATAATAGGTATTCAACTTCACTGGCACAATTTATACAGGCTGCTAATAAAATCTTGTGAACTATGTAGTAATTTAACCAAGATTAAAGGAAAACAAAGGAACAGAAGTCCCCAGTAGCCAAGGAAAAGAATTCCTTAATTGGTAAAAATACTACTATGGACAGATAGAATTTCTCAAGTGAATTTTCTAGGTCAAATTTGATATTCCCTATCAGATAAGGTCAGTGTAGCCCAAGTCTTTCAATCCTGAGAACTAGTCTTATGTTCCAAAAATCCTATTATAAACTGGTGCTACAATTGATGATAGGTACGTACAAATATAAGAATCTGTAGCATTAATAACATTAAGCATTAGCAGTTTCATAATGTGCTGATCAAGTTTTCTTGTTGTACTAACTTAAGAAAAGTCAGAGCCAGGCTTGTGTCCCGTATCTGCTAAGGTACAAAACAGCATAGTTTGTTGCGTTAACAGTACCTCTTGCTTCTTGCTTCTTTTTCCACTCTTAATTTATCTTAACCCACCTTTCTCTCTGAAAAAAATCTAGTTATTTGTGTGATACAAGCTATTTGATGTGATTGGGACTTATTGGGAGTTAAATGTTAAAAGCTGGTTAAAATAGAATAAAAGAAGATAAATATACTACATTTTTAACAGCTTAAAATTTTTAAGTTAAAATGTTCAATGACGTTAACAATTTGTATTTTTTTAACTTTTAAATGTATTATTTTAACAAAACATCAAGATATATATTTACTCACTTGTTCTTTTATTACAAGAGGGCAGAGTCTGTTCTTTGTATATGGTTTTACTGATTACAATTTCTCTCTGCAGAAAACATGTAAGATAGTATCTTCAGTATTTCTGACCAATTTTTAAACAGGGAGCAAAGCTTATAGAAACACTTGCAAGATTTTTCTATGCCTCACCACCAACCAGATTTAAATTTTTCTTACCAATTTTCAACATAGATTTTTTCCCCTATTTGTTCAATTTTGTCTTAAGAATTAAATACTTTTTATATTTGTTTTGAAAAAAGATTAGCTACAAAAAATTTCAATAGGAAGTATGGAAAATAATGAAATACTTGCATATATGCTAACAACCATACCTTCTGTAACTCTCCAAAAAAGGTTCCTTTTTGAAGTATCACAAATTTCGTATCTTACTCTCATATATATTTTAGTATGTATATTTTCATCCATAAATAATATTTTGTTTAAAATTTTATGTAAATGTACTTTAAAAAGGATTTATGTAAATGTACTTTAAAAAGGATATACTGTATGTCCTTTTTCAACTTTTTCCACTTAGGTTCTCTTTGAGATTTGTCCATGTTGATACGTATAATTCATACAGTCTGTTTATTTGAACTGTCCAGTGTGAGTCCCTTCTATGAGTAACCCACAGCTCCGTGTCCTTTACAGTTAGGTTATTACCAGTTTTTCATTGTCAAAAACAGTGAATGCCAAATGTCCTTGTATATAACTTGTGCTCATATGGGACATATTTCCCTAACACAGACACTTGGAATTGAAAGTGCAACAAGGTCCTGGGATGTATGCTTCTTCATTTAGCGAGAAATTGCCAAAATCACTGTGAGTCAGTGATTTACATTCCTACCAAAATAGAAGTATGTAAAAGTTGGCCACATTTTAGCCAGTGCTAGGTGATCATATTTATTTTAATTTTGCCAAGTAATTGTTTGAGAAATGGTATTAGTTTGCATTGTCCTGATAATTACAGAGTTGAACATCTTTGCATGCATTTATTGTCTATTTTATTCTTTTTGGTGAATTGCCTAGGTACATGTGTTTAGTTTTCTAATGCTTTTGTTATTTTCTAATTGATTTATAGAAGTCAGGATTTTTCCAGGTATTTGCAAGTGTGGCCTTTTTCCTTCTTTATATAGTAATGTTTAACTTTGACATATGGTCAAATATATCCATCTTTTTGTTTGATATGTGCATTCTTGTTTGAGAAATTCTTCTTTACCCCAGTGTCACAAAGTCTTCTATTTTTTTTGTAAATATTTTTACAATTTTTCTTTTCATGTTTAATTCTTTAATCCATCTGGAATTGATTTTTGTTTCTGAGAAAGAAATCTTGTTCTGCCTTTTTGCACATGGTTAGGCAGTTTTCCAAGCATATTTCATTAAGTCCTTCTCCCATTGAATGTGTAATACCCATTGATTTATAATACTGTATGTCATACACCTTCCTCTTTTCATTGATATATTTGTCTATATTATGCCCATACCAGTTTTAATGATGGTGGCTTTATAATAAATAAATACCTTACTTTGTTTTTCTTCAAGATTCTGTTGGCTTACTTGAACCTTTACTCTTCCATATAAACCAGTTTGCTAAATTCAAGAGTGAGTAGGCAGAATACCTGGTGGGATTTTTATTGGAATAGTATTAAATTTACAGATAAATTCCTGGAGAATTGACATATTTCCAGATATATTAGAGTTTCCAAGATGTATTTTACATTTATTAGAAGTGTCAAATTTTTGTCTTTCTGTTTGATAATTTTTTCCGTGAAAGTTTTGCATATCTTTTGTAAGATTTATATGTTTTGTAAGGTATCTTGAAGTGTTTTTGGTTCCCAGTATCCTTGGTGAATTATCTTGCTAGTGCTGATAATTTGTTTACCAAAACCTCTTATATTTTCCATGCAGATATTTAATTATCTTTGAGTAATATTTCTTGTTTCTTTCCAATTCTTACATCTTTTAATATGGAGTTAAATGGAAGCTGTGATAGCAGTTACTCTGTAGTTCTGACTTCACAGGGAATGCTTCTAATGTTTTATGATTAAATATAATAATGTTTATTGTAGGCTTTTGGTAAATACCTTTCTATTCCTTGTTTGCTAAGAATTTCTTTTAAACAAGCACTGAATTTTATCAAATGCCTTTTCAGTTTCCAAAATAAAAAGTTTGCAGCACAAATCTGACTCTCGTTAATGTTTTCTTTAGGGTGATCAGCGCATGGCTTGTTAGAAAGAGATCACTCAACAGAATTAAACAGGAAATTTGCTAGAATCAAGAATGATGGATCCGTGTTCAGTTGGAGTCCAACTTCGTACCACAAATGAGTGCCATAAAACCTACTATACTCGTCACACAGGTTTCAAGACTTTGCAAGAATTGTCATCAAATGATATGCTTTTACTTCAACTCAGAACTGGAATGACACTTTCTGGGAACAATACAATATGTTTTCATCATGCAAAAATTTACATTGACAGATTTGAGGACTTGCAGAAGTCATGTTGTGACCCCTTTAACATACACAAAAAACTAGCCAAAAAAAATTTGCATGTAATTGACTTAGATGATGCCACTTTTCTGAGTGCAAAATTTGGCAGACAGCTTGTACCTGGTTGGAAGCTTTGTCCAAAATGTACACAGATAATCAATGGAAGTGTGGATGTTGATTCTGAGGAACGGCAGAGAAGAAAACCTGATTCAGATGTACGTATAGGAGTCATTTTTCTGCTATGTTATTTCTACAACATGGGGTTTCGTTTAACTGTAAGGAAGTCATATTTACATTATTATTATACAGTCATACCTCGGTACTCGTCAGCTTCAGAACTCGTGAAACCCTGTACTCATCACATTTTGATGAGAAAAAAATGTTTCACCGCCCTCACACTTGCTAGAACTTGTATGAGTCACAACGCCGCCCTGCCAAAGAAAATGCTTCCTCGTTTGGTACTTGTTGGTTTCGGCACTCATCACAAGTTTTGGAATGAATTAATGGCAAGATACCGAGGTACCACTGTACTAATTAATTAGCATACAGTGAATATAAAGTTGGGGAAGTGAAAATAAATAGTCTTTCTAAATATTTGCACGTACCTAGGTTGAATGACAAAGAAAGTAGGCTTGGAAAAGGAATAACATAGTATGCCCAAGACTCCCAAGCTGTAACTCCTAGCGCTAAGACATTAGGGGAATGCCTTTTGGAACAACCTGGCAAAACCAGGACTTAACTGTCTTAGTTTTTTCCTGATACTAAAGTAACTCAGTGGGATATGCCAGCCAGCCAGGATCTGTATCTAGGAAGATGAATTCTTTTCACAAAGGACTTGAAAATTACTGCTTTAAAAGGAACATTAGAGAAGTGACTTGTTTCTTATTTCAACTTTTCTTTCTCCTTTGGCACTATCCCATTCTTGTTTGGGTTTTTGAAAAGCTTTTGAGTTTTCTCTACTTCTAGCTCTGAAATTCTACTTGGTATTATTAAAGCTAATTTTAGGACTCCCTCTGGTCTAAAAGCAAACATTTTTACATTGTAACTAATAAATATTTTATAATTCTCTTCTTATTCACAGGGTTCCATTCAGATTCTTTAACCATATCAGAACACCTTAAGATTTTATAAAGCTCTTTGGTATAGAACAAGGACAAGTATGTGAAAGGAGCACTTCTCCAAATTTCTGTTGATAGGCCATTTATAATTCTTGCTGCTAGGATACTTTTTTCAATTTTACCTTTCATTATATTAATAAACCAAATTAAAAGATAATTAAAGATTTAAATTTTATGCAGCGCTTTCCTTCTCTACACCCCTCAGAGGCATGTCTCCACCTGGTGTTACCTTGCAGTTCATACCAGGCACTTGCCACTGTCACTTAGGATGTCGCCTCCACTGTATTTATCCACAGCTCTTGTGGAACGTATCACATGAAGCTGTTTCCCCCAAGCAACAAACCTAAACTCTTAACCATCGAAATTTCATAATACATTTCAGGACTTGAAACCATATTTCTGCTTTTGAAAACACAACAATAATAGGGCCTTTTCTTAAGGACTCAGGATCATTAATAGGAACCTCAGTTACGAGCCATTGGGTGATAAAGCAGTTTTTCTGATTTCTCTCCCACGTTAGCAGCAGCCATTTCAGTTTCCACCATGCCTATCCTCCTCTCCTCCTAATATGCCAGAAATTAAAATTAGATAATGAAAATATTGTATGTAAGTTAGCCAACAAATTTTGAATATGGTCCAAGTCTGTAAATTTTGTTGCACTTGGGCCCCAAAACCTTTTTTTTCTTTTTTGTGAGTTCCAGACTGTCTTACAGGTTAAGGAATAATCTGGATTAACATTAAGTAAAATATTACTAAGACCTGATATCAAGATTTAAGTTGATAATTTGATTACCTTCATTCAGGGAAGAACTGCTAAAGCTTTGAAGTCATTACAATTTGCAAACCCAGGAAAGCAAACTGAATTTGCTCCGGAAACTGGTAAAAGAGAAAAAAGAAGGCTTACCAAAAATGCAGCCTCTGGTTCAGACAGGTAGGCTCTGTGTTATTGAAGTCATATGTTAACTTTCCACTTCACATTTATTTTGTTCCCATGTCTTTCTCTTAAGATTTGGGTTTCCTGGGTAAATATTTCAAATTGAGTAATCTGGAAATGGTGAGAACGTCTGAGGACCTCATAAAAAATTAAGACGTCTTTTCCACTCTAAAAATGTTTCTAAGAAGGTACCAGCGACATGAACAAGATAATTTTTTTGGCGTGAGAATTAAAATAATTGAAATAAATTATACTTAGAATTAAAATAATTTTTTGAAAAGCATTGATGTTATGTAATTGGTATATTTCTGCTGTATGAGTAGCAGCTAAAAAGTAAATTTTATGAGAAGTTTTATATATATGAAATGGAAATAGTTACGGTACAGTCAATAGAATGAATGAGGAAACTAAATTGTTTAGAATGTGTGCCTTTTTAAATTGAGCATTTCTACATAAATTGACAACGAAATGTTAGTGTAATCATTCAGAATTTTTACAGGTGCTGTTTATTCCATCTGTTAAGGTTTTCTATTGAGTCATTTTTATTTTAGGCCAGATTTGCTAGAGTGCATTAAAGAACAAGAAACAGATTAGTTGCAGTATAAAAACCGATAGGGTACTATACTGCAGTAAAAATAAAACTATTCACAAAGCAGTGAAGAGATTGGTAGCCAAAAAAAAGTACCACTGTTTGTTAGCCATTCTTTTTCTTTTTTTAAAGGTAATGGAAGTTTTAACCAAAAAATACTCGTTCTTTTGGACAGAGTTCTTGTCCATTCCTTTGCTGAGGTGATTTTTAATTGGACTTGAGGGGCTATTCAGGTTTTTTGTGTGTCTCAACACTTTTAGAGTGGGGTCTTTTCTAGCATGGAATTCACATACTACTAACAGTAGGGCAGCCTTGAATCTGTTATGTACCAGTTTGGTGGGACTTCTAATAAATATTTGAAAGTTGTATATTTGTGAGGTGTAATTCACCTTGTGTTTTCTTACAGACAAGTGATACCAGCTAAGAGCAAGGTCTATGACAGCCAGGGTCTTCTGATCTTCAGTGGAATGGATCTCTGTGACTGCCTTGATGAAGATTGCTTAGGGTGTTTCTATGCGTGTCCTGCCTGTGGCTCTACCAAGTGTGGAGCAGAATGCCGCTGTGACCGCAAGTGGCTCTACGAGCAAATCGAAATCGAAGGAGGAGAAATTATTCATAATAAACATGTTGGATAATTTGCGCTATCAATTTATGGGATCTTTAAAGTACTTCCTCTGTTTCTAAAATTATGTCATTCTTACATTTTTAAGTTGATTACCAGATGATAGAAATTTGAAAACCACCTCAACATGCACTCAATGTGCACTAATACTGTAAATTTAGATACGCTATTTCAGCAGTCACTTGAAGCCTGTCTGCCTGGGTCAATGTAAACAAGTAAGATATAGGCAGGCCTCAGTTTGCACAATTTGCATACCCACAAATTTCGATGACAATGATTTTGTTAACACCAGTTCCCTAACAGCCTGCTCAAATTTCCGTTACCACACTATACTAACTCTGAGTAATTACATGACGTACAAATTTGCGAGCTCTTCAGTCCACTCCGAGTAACAGATGTTTTTCGTGATCAATGGCCAATCACTACTTTTCTCATTCTGCTGGAGGTTGGTTGCTGCACATCTGTTAATCAGTTTGTTCACAGACAGCAAAGCATATAGGTGTATTATTTCCTTGTCCCGCATGGGACATCTTACAAAAGTAGATAATGAAAAGAATGGGCAAAGAACTGAAAAATGATAATGCCAGAAGTAAGATTGGAGTCAAACATTACTGGAGTTGTAGAAGAAACTGCCGATAATGGGAATGTTGACACTACTTTTCTAGAGCCTCTAGGTTTGCCGCCAAAGGAATGTAAGTGCATGTGATGAAAAGGGTGACTGTGTCCCAGAGGAAGTGATGGTAAAGAAACTTCACGTTAAAGGAAATTACAGAAATATTTTACAGCATTGGCAGTACAAATGATGAAATAGTGGAAAGTCATCCAAACTTAAAGTATGGCAATGTGCCGTGGTATAAGTTATTTGACAAAAAAGGCAAGCACTGTTCAAACTACTCTTGTTTTTTTACAATGAAATAAAACTAATTTTCAGTCTTTCTAATGTTTTAAATTACAGTATACTAAATCAATACTTTTTTACAATTTTTTTATTTACATTTTAACTGAACAATAATTTTTCCCATTGATTATAAAGAAAGGTTTCTTTGAATAGCCAGTTTTTATGGTCCTATACTGTCAACGCAATGCATGGACTGCCTGTAGCTGAGAACAGTACCCACTTGAGGAAAAATTAATTTTGGTACAGCTAAGTAGTTGAGCGTTAAGTTATTTGGAGAATAATCTACATATCTGTTAAAGTATGCCATTTCTTCTTCCCACTTAAGCTCTTCAAAAAGTTTACTCTAAACGTTCATTGTTTAGACAATGTATTCTTGAAATATGTTCTTTGTGGAAACAATCTTACTCTATGTATAAAGCACAAATATATATAAATATATAAACAATACTGATTAGGAATAAAAGGACTAAAAAAAAGACTCCTTACAGGAGTAATAATAAGAAAAGGTGGAGAAACACTGGTTGAAACTAAATTATTTAAAAATTGAAACGATGTTGGAATTTGAGTATTTGGAGAACGAGAGTGGATGTAATTTCTCTCTGCCTTTTATAAACAGCTACCTGTTATTCTAAAATCTTCCATCATCTAGGATACTGCCACTAAACTAGGTTTTTTTGTCTTTCCTAAAAATTGTACTTAGTTTAATCAAATGAGCTTTAAACAACTTGAAATATATTTTAGCCATTGAAACTATAAATTTGTACAGCCAGTTTTATTGACCAATAGAGGTTTATTTTTACTTCTGTACAATTTTAGTACCTCTAAAAGACTGGTTTTAGTTGACTGGCATGCCATTTTCAACCACAAAATTAAGTGTCATTTTTAAGTTAAAATTGTTCACTGACCTATTATCAGAAGTACAGTTATCAGTTCCTTGATTTATATGTTTCAACAGAGCACTGGCAAAAAAGAATATTTTAGCTTTACATAATAAAGTCAGATGGTAGATTTCTGAATTAAGGAAACACTTTCTTAGAAGGGACTTAAACATAGACTCCAATTTTACCTGAACTTCTAGGATCATTAGAACTTCTTAATTGCATTACTATTACCATTTTTGTTGCTTCTAATTGTTATTTAGTATATTACTTAGGCTCTTCATAGGGACAGATTAAAATCTTAGAGATTTTTTTTGTTTAAAATGAGTATCTTTTCAACAGAATAAATGACTTTAAAATTCAAATTGTTATATTTCAGCATTACTTAGAACATTTTGTGTTATTTTTCAAAGAAAATTTCTTGGATAGCAGTTATGCTAATAATTTGTGTATTATGCTTATTTAGGAGACCAAATTTTTAGTGAGCATGCAAAAGGTTTATAGAGAAATACCTGATTTAGAGTAGATTGTTAATAAAACCTGTGTTTTGGAAAACATCATGAGCCTACTTACTGTTTTTTATTATAAAATTTCAGAAATACAGAAAACAAATCATCTTGACCCTTTTTACATTTTGGTGTAACTCAAGGTGGCTAAATTATTTTAGAAAGCTATTACTCTAAAAAGCAATAATAAAAGTTATATAAATATTTAACTTCTGCTGTATATGCTTCCTGGTGGAGAAGTTAATGTAGGGCCAAAAACATTGATACCACCCAATGCTGGTCACAAACATTGAAGTAAAAAAGCATATATGTATTTGAATAAAATAAATAGCATCTCAACTGACCTTTTTTCTATTAGTCTTTTACAAATGTAATAAAATAGCTCTGGGATATCACATGTAAGATTTTTCTGTTTTTAGAATATTACATCTAGTTCTAATAACCTGTTTCACAACCTTGACAGCCTATTCTAAAACTGGTCGCCTGGAATGGATTCAACTAAGTAATTTGTAGACATATTTTGAGACATATAAACATACATAGAGTGGTTAAGACAGAGAATATAGGTTTCCTAAGTTCTAGCATATTTCTTAACTCCTTGGAGGTCAGAGACTCCCATGAGAAGCTGATAAAAGCTATGAACTGTCTCCCTAGACTATTGTATTCATGTACTCACGAACACTTCATGTTCAGAATCCCTGAACGTGCTTGGAATTCCTGAGTAACATGGAAAAGTCTGAACCAGCTGATTTATTTTTTTTTAACTGAAGATGGCTGCTGAAGTGCAGTTTGGTTTGTAAAATAAGTGTTGAAGATGGTTTTTATAGAACAAAATCAGAGCAGTTCAGGTCTTTGAAAAGGCTGTGGCGAAAATCAGTGCCCACTTTTTGCCACCTCCAGAACGGTAATTTCCAAGTCAAGTAACAATGGGAAACAGGTGTCATCCTGACTATGCTTTGGTAATTGGAGATTTTCTCATTCTCTATGGTTACCCTGCTAGAAATAGCTTAACATCCTCGTACAAGTGCATGTGACACTGCCTTAGTTTTTGCTGACATCTGCTGGTATCTTCATGAAAACTGCCACTACTACGGAACACTTAATTTCATCTGTTTTAGATTGAACTTTAAACACTGGAAATTACATTGGAATGGGAAATTTAAAAAAATTTTTTCTTCTCAAAGTAGAAAGGCTTCCCTTTTTAGCCTTGTTAGGGCTTGCCCATGTTGGATTTTATTTTTCAAGAATATGAGTGAGGATATGAAAATGTACATAGGCATTTTGGGGTTCCTTTTCATTTATTTTTATAAAGTGGAGAGACATGGAAAAATAATGCTTCTATCTATGTATTTTTTTTTAATTCTCAAACACTTGATTGAACCCTTAGTTTGAAAGGTGTAATAGACTTCTGCAGAGTATGTACCCCGACTTGCAGATTTTTTGTGATGGCTTAGTTCTGGGGACTCACTTTACCAAGATAATTTAACTTCCAGAAGATGAAATAAGTTAACCAGAAGAAGCAATTGGGTTAGTAATGCTATATCTTTAAATGCAACTTGAAAATACCTAACTGCAGCCCTGTGGAGTGGCACAAGTAAAATGTACTGTTTTTCCCCTTGACTGAAACCACGGGAGAATTACTTCTTTGTGAGACACTTAATGATCAGAAACTTCAGTTTTCTCATTTCATACCACTACAAGCAAACAGATATGTTTTATTAAAGAGCAGGCATAATCATCCTAGGCTACGGTTTGAAATAAATGGGCTTACTAAAAAGTTTAATTTCTGGCTGGGGCACATGCCTTGGGTTGTGTGCTCCATCCCCCACTGTGGCGCCAGTGGGAGGCGACAGATTGGTTGGTGTTTCTCACACTGATGTTTCTCTTTCTCCCTTTCTCTCTCTCACATGAGAATACAATAAACCTTGGAGGAAAAAAAGGAAACGGTGAAAATCAAGTTGAAAGCCTTAAATTAGGCTTTAATAAGAGACTTGAAGCAATTCAAAATGTCAATACTAGCTCTGTAAATTTCCCTTTGTTATCAATAATCAGAACAATTTGATAAATCCAAATTAAATTGGTGTTAATTGTCTTCTGGTAGCTGAAATTTATGACTTGGGCTTCAACGTAGTATTTACTTGTAGTTATTGGTGGCATGAAATAAATGACAATACTGGTACTATGTAAAAGGGTTTTTACAAGATTTAGGGTAAATACAAATTAATTTTGGCATTAAGATAGGTAAAATGATTCAGGATGTTCAATGAATTGTGGTGTCATTAAGGTTTTTAATCTCATGCTTTCCCCAGAGGGTAGTGAGCCTTTGATTTGGATTGGACTTCCACTATTTTTGAGTTTAGCATAATATAGTGAGATCAGATCAGGAAAAAAAAAAAGTTTAAGACTGCCAATCTGAAATAATCTGGAGAGAACTGTCACTCAAGCTTTTTTATTTTGCTTTTTGGTGAATGAGATTTTAAAAAATGCCAACAAGCTTTTAGTTACTTACGTCTTAGCGAATGAGATTATGCAAAGAGAATTTCTGCATAAAATACAGACCCTACAATTTGGGGCATGCAAATCAGATTTATTTTTTCCAAAAATAATTTGGCTCAGAGCATTTCTAAATTGGGCCACAAGAGGACTTCCCTATAGGAAATGTTAAAAAGAAAAAGAAACATTTCCAAAATTTTCCAGTACAAGTTTCCAACTTATCCCAGAAGGTATAGCTGAACAAATGCATGTATTCTCCTTGATGTATTTTTGTATCAAAGAACTACACATAGATTAAGGGTCAGAGAACAGCTCAAGATCCCTAAGAGACCAAGTCTCACACTGCGTGACACCCACCAACCCACATTATGAGGCTCCTCAATCCTTTTTAAAAGAAATGGTGCTAGGAGATCCTTAACTCTAAATTTCATTTTCCCCTGGTCCCAAGTGACTGGGGTTGGTGGGACACTTGACTCAAGGAAAGCTAACCTTTATCTTGGCCAGAAACTTACGCATTGGGCAAATGTAAAGGAAACACTGCTCAAATGCCAAAGGTGATTAAATGCACCAGTCAGATTCAGGAAGCAGAAGGTAAGGGAGAAAGAAATCAGTCTGTAGAAGAAGAAATGAAATAACAGAATAGCTGAGGCTCTGTAATGGAATGCTAGGGTTATATACATAAACACCTGGGAGGTAACAACTGCTAGATCTGCCACTGAGTCACCAGAGCTGCTATGAGCTTTGTACATCTGATAGGTCTTAGGAATACCCGGTCTCAACGAGGCCTGGCCATGCAGTCTAGATCCCTCTTAGTTTTGTATGTATACTTCCAAGAAACACTCCATTATTAAAGCAAATCTTAATAAGGAGTTAGTTTGTTCACCCACAGAGCTTTACTAATACCCTGCCCTTCTCGGTTAGAGAACAGAGACTGGAGGTGTGATGTTATGCTGCTGCCTGTTAATAGGTCTGGAGTAGGGGCAGAGACCTTGCATCTCTAGCTAGTCTGCAGGTGAGGTTGAAGTGGCCAGTCTGGAAACTGCACCTAAAGAACCGCCGCTGTACAAGGAAGATTCTCAACCTTGCATACACATTGAAATAACCTGTGAAACATCAAAAAATACCTCTACCTGGGCCTCACACCCATATATTTGATTTAAATGGTCTGGAGTTTGGCCTGAGAGTTGAGAGTCTTCTTCCCTTCTGGTTCAGTGTAGGGATCACTCAGGATTCAACTAGGTAACTGAAGGTTGATTTTATAAGTGAACTTGGCTAGGCTATGGTATCAAGTTTTTAGTCAAACATGACTCTCAACACTTCTGTAAAGGTACTTTTTTTTAAAGTGTGATTAACATTTAAATCGGCAGACTTTGAATAAAGCAGATTGCCTTCCATACGTTGAGGGGACCTCATCCAGTCAGTCAAAGGCCTTAAAAACACTGATGTGCCTGAAGGAAGGAGGATTTGCCCCGACAGGTCACCTTCGGACTCGAGCTGCAACGTGAGTTCTTTCCCTGGTCCCCAGACTGCAGATTTGGGACTTGCCAGCCCCCACAATTTTGTGAGCCAATTCCTTACAATAAAACTTTCTCTCTGTATATACATCTTCTTGCTTCATTTCTCTGGAGAACCCTGGCTAATACAACAACCTAATTAGTCTCCATTCCAAATTGGTTCCCAGAAAGGCCCTGGCTCTCAATCAAAGAATATAAACCCTTCACTAGATCTTTTTTTTTCTATATCTAGCTTTAGGCAAGTCAATGAATATATAGCTCATTTTTGACTTTTTTATCCTGTTCATATTATCAAATCTATTTAGTTCCTCTTTGGAACATTCTTGAATCCATTTTAGCTTTTTTATTCATTTTTATTTTGTCTCTACCACCCCAGTTAAAAATCAATAGTGTATTGCATGCCAGTATTAATTCCCTCTTTGGTGTTAGCACTAAAGTTAACTTTGAGCAGACAGCCACCCTTACACTCTCAGACCATGTCGTTCAGGTGGTGTTGACCTCACTTCATGGTTCCAGAGGTGGACACATCACCAGGCCCTGGCCTTTGAGGGCACAGCATCTCCCTAGCTTTAGAAAATGCTTTAAGGGCAGGTACATGGCTAGCCAGGCCAATCAAAGCCAATAAACATCAGTGTTAGTGGGGTTAAAGAAAAAGAGATGCTGTTCTTCAGTGAGGGTTGCTAAGCTTATAATTGAATCCTGGACCTATTGATGGCTAACCTGAACAAGACTTAAGAAGAATCTGCCATTGAATGAAAGCAAAGGAGAAAGCAGAAGCCAAAGTCCCAACAGAGAGGATTTGAGTGTCTGGATCTAGCTGTGTCTGAAGTCAACCCTGGACTTTTCAGTTACATAAGCCAATCATTTTCTCTTCTTTCCTGTGATTGTCCATTAAGTGAATACAAGGTAGTGACCAGGTGGAGATATGAGTATAAAACCACCGAAGTGCTAAAGTAAAACGGCCTGTTTAAACACGTGCCCTTGGAACTTGTATACAGGAGTGACCCCGTTACCCACAGTTT